TCTAGAGATAAGGTCATCTCCCCTCTTCCTGGCACAGAGAGGGAGGCATCCCCACAGATGGGGGTTCCCCCACAAATGCAAATGCCTCCCAACAAAGGGCAAGCAAACTCTGCTCCTCGGAGCCTGCTTCTCATCTCCAGTTTTAAAAGTAACCGGCCTAAAATCCTCATCAATAACATGTAAGCTCAGAACCAAACATCAACTGTGTTCATATATGTTAGCAACAAACAATTGGAGACCAAATTAAAAACACATTAATACCATTTATAGTCACTCCAAAGAAAGTGAAATACTTAGGTATAAAACTAACAAAACATGTAAAGGATCTGTATGATAAAAACTACAAAATGTTGATGAAGGAAATCAAAGAAGACCTAAATAAATGGAGAGACATACCACGTTCATGAATTGGAAGACTCGACACAGTAAAGATGAAAACTGCAGCAGACCCAGTGTACATAGACAAACTGACTCTGAGATTTATATGGAAAGATAAGAGAACTAGAATAGCTAAAACAATATTGAAAAAGAATAATAAAGTTGGAGGAAATCACATTATTTGATTTTTAAGACTTACTATGTAGCAACAGTAACGAGGACAGTGTGATATTGGAGGAGGGACCGAAACATGTACCAAGATGGAGGCCAGAAGTAGACCCACACTGTAAGTATGTCCAACAGATTTTTGTCAAAGGTGCAAAAGCAATTCAATGGGGTAAGAATAGTCTTTTCAATAAATGATGTTGGAACAACTAGACTTACATAAGTAAAAAAATAAACCTTTACCTAAACCTCACACCTTATACAAAAATTAACTCACAATAAATCATAGACCCAAATGTAAACTATAAAACTTTTAGAAGAAAACAGGGGAAAATCTTCACGACCTGGAGGTAGGCAAAGAATTGTTAGACATTCACAAAAGCTCAACTCATTAAAAAAAAAAAAAATACATTGGTCATTAGTCTTCATCAAAATTCAAAATTTTTGTGCTGCTGAAGACTCTATTATTAAGAGGATGAAAAGACAAGCCCCATACTGGGCTTAATAATATTCACATATCCGACAAAGGACTTTTACCCGGAATATATAAAGAATCCCCTAAACTCAACATTAAGAAAGCAGACAGGGAGGGGCTGGCCCCATGGCTGAGTGGTTAAGTTTGCGTGCTCCGCTGCAGAGGGCCCAGTGTTTCGTTGGTTCAAATCCTGGCGCGGACATGGCACTGCTCATCAACCCACGCTGAGGCAGGGTCCCACATGCCACAACTAGTAGGACCCACAACAAAGAATATACAACTATGTACCAGGGGGCTTTGGGGAGAAAAAGGAAAAAAAAAAAAAGAAAGCAAAACAGGGGCCAGCCGCATGGCCGAGTGGTTCAGTTTGCACGCTCTGCTTCAGCAGCCGAGGGTGTCGCTGGTTGGGATCCTGGTTGTGGACCTAGCACTGCTCATCAAGCCATGCTGAGGCAGCGTCCCACACAGCAGAACTAGGAGAACCTACAACTAGAATATACAACTATGTACTGGGGGCTTCAGGGAGAAGAAGGAGAAATTAAAAAAAAAGAAAACAAACAAGCCCATTAGAAAATGAGCCAAAGACTTGAACAGACGCTTCACTGAAGAGGCTATACAGATAGTGAATATGCACATGGAAATATGTTTCACCTTCGTTAGCCATTAAGGAAATGCATATTAAAGCCACAGTGAGATACCACTTCAGCTGTCAGAATACTAAAGTAACAACACCGACAATACCAAGTGAGGGCGTGGAGCAGCCGAATCTCCGCTACGATGCTGAAGGGTATGTAGAATGGTACAGCCACTTTGGAAGACAGTCTGCTGTTTTCATCAAGTTAAACACACTTGCTACATATATTAGTTTTCTACAGCCAGTGTAACAAATTCCCACAAACTGAGCGGCTAAACACAATAGGAATTTATTCTTTCACAGCTCTGGGGGCCAGAAGTTCCCAGTCAGTTTTGCTGGGCCGAATCAAAGGCTTCAGGGAGGATCTGTTCTCCTTTGCTTGTAACTGTAGCACACCGATCTCTCCCTCTGTCTTCACATCGTCTGTGTGTGTCCGATTCCCTCTGCCTTTCTCAAGGGCACTTGTGATGGCATTTAGGGCCCCCTCAGATAATTCAGGATGATCTCCTCATCTCAAAACCCTTAATCACATCTGCAAAAACTTTACCATATAAGGTAACATTCACAGGTTCCAGAGATTAAGACCTGATATGTTTGGGGGCCACTGTTCAGCCCACTAAACAGCAATCACACTCCTAGGTATCTAGCCTAGAGAAATGAAAATGTAAGTCTGCACAAAAACCTATACACAACCGCTCATAGCAGCTTTATTTCTAATAGGCAAAAACTGGAAACAGCCCAAATGTCCTTCAGTGGGCAAGTGGTACAACCATATAGTGGAACATGTGCAGCCATAAAAAGGAACAACTCTTGATACACACAACTTGAATGGATCTTAAGGGTATTATGCAGAGTGAAAAAGCCAATCTTGGGGGCTAGCCCAGTGGTGTAGTGGTTAAGTTCAGATGCTCTGCTTCAGTGGCCCAGGGTTCACGGGTTCAGATCCTGGGTGCGGATATACACACCGCTTGTTGAGCCATGCTGTGGCAGTGTCCCACATGCAAAACAGAGGAAGGTGGCACAGATGTTAGCTCAGCAACAATCTTCCTCAAGCAAAAAGAGGAAGATTGGCAACTTATGTTAGCTCAGGGCCAATCTTCCTCACCAAAAAAAAAAAGAAAAAGAAAAAGCCAATCTTGAAAGATTGTATACTATATAATTCCGTTTACATAACACTTCTGAAATTACAAAATTATAGTAATGGGAAACAGGTTAGTGGTTACCTAGAGAGGTTTAAGAGGAAGGTCTGATTATAAAGGGGTAGCATAAGGAAGTATTTTTGTGGTGATGGAACAGTTCTTCATCCTGATTGTGGCAGTGGTTATATAAATCTACATGTGATAAATTTTCATAGTATTATACACCAAAAAGAAGTGCACATAAAACATGGTAAAATTGAATAGGATCTGTAGTTTAGTTGATAGTATTAAATTGATGTCAGTCTCCTAGTTTTGAAATTGTTCTATGGTTATGTAAGCTGTCATCAGTGGAGAAAGCTAGATGAAGCATACATTGGAATTCTGTACTGTTTTTGTAACTTCTTGTGAGTCTTAAATTGTTTAAAAATAGAAAGCTCCAAACAAAAAAGGAAATTTATTGACTGTAGGTGAGAAGTCCAAAAGGAGGGTGGGCTTCAGGCATGGTTTGAACAGAAGTCCACAATGTCTTCAGGCCTGTGGCTCCATCCTCTGAGATTCTCTCAGCTCTGTTTTGTGTTGGCTTTCTCCTCAGACTGACTTCTCTCATGGTAGTAAGTTGGCTGCCAGCAGTCCCTGGGACTAGGTGCTCTTTGTTCCCTTCTAGTCAGGAGAAGAAAGAGGCAGCTATCTCCTCCTTTAATCAGAAAAAAAAAAGGCCTGAGCTCTGCTCTCACTGGACCACCTTAGGGCATATTTCACCACTAAACTAGTCAGTGTGCCCAGGGAAATGCTATGCACTGATTGCCCATCCATGTGGTAAAGGAATGGGATTGCCCGATTGGCTCACATCAATCAGGCCCAACTCCTAGAGCTGGGATGGGGCCAATCTCCCCTAAATAGAACTTTTATCACCAGGTGGGAAGGGGTGGGGTGGATGTTGGGTACCAACTCCAATGTCCAGTACAACTACCTTCTTGAAATTCACTCTTGCCTTGGTGTCAGATGCACCATTCTTCCTGGATAGCCTCTATCAATAGGTCTTAAAGCATAGGAGTTTTCTAGACAGAGGTATAAAATGTCATTCCAAGCAGAAGAAACAGCACAAGGCGACACCCAGAGATGTGAAGGAAACAATGAAAATTTTGGTGTGGCAAAGCAAAGAGTTCTTGAGGGAAGAGTGATTAGTAACAAAGCTGAAGAGAAGGGATGGGACCAGGACACAAAGAGCCTTGAATGCCACCTCAAGGATCACAGGTAATGGGAAGACGTTGAAGGCTTTTAAGAAAGAACAGTACATGAACTCGACCTTAGAAAGATCTCTCTGGCTACAGCCCGGAGGATGGACTGGAAGGGGCCCGACTGGAAGCTGTTCCAGTGGTCTGGGCAGAAGAAAATGAAAGCCTTACCTAAGGTGTGGCCTTGAGCGTGTCTGAGAGAAATGGGTGGATATGTCAGATGGTGGTTTGGTGGCATCAGCAGGACCTGCTGAATTGCTTGGCTTTGTGAAGGGGTTGAGGAGAAGGTGTGAGAGATGCTCACATTCCTTGAGCTTGAACACTTGATATACTTTTTATCTGAAAGGCAGGAATGCTCAATTGTGCCACATGCTCCTGATAAGTCAAGGGACATAAGGATTTATGTGACTGTGGGATTTAGTGACAAAACATTGTAAGTATGTTGGGGGCAGAAAGCAAGTAAACTGCAACAGAATAAGTCATGAATGGGAAGTGAGGAATAATAAGGCCAAGTGAGCTTCCTTTTAAGCTCAGATATAAGAGGAGGATAAAGCAGTAGATGAAGAGAGTCATGGCATCTATTCTTAAAGCAGAGAAAAATGTACGTTTTTAAGTTTCCAGCACTTCTCTGCATACTAGCCGTGCAGTAAGCCTTTATCCTCGTCCATGAAATGAGTTTTTAAGAGTACCGACCTCACAGGTCTATGGTCAAGGTGCAGTCTTCATCTCTCCTAACAATTGTTTATTGTGCTTCTTCTCCACTCAACTTTAAGTTCATGAGAAGCATTCACAGTTCCTAGTGCACGATGTGGTATATCGTTAATAAATGTTTGTTAAACGAATGATGCATTTAAGACTCTGAGCACAGTCCTGCCCAAGGTAAGCACTCAGGGAAGTTAGCCAGGGCTTGTGTCCTGGTGGGGAGGAAGGGGCTACAGGAGGAAGCCCCATGCCCCCAGCTTGCTGTTTTCCAGACGCCGAGGAGGTGCCCCCTGATCGCCAAGGTGGGAACATGGGCGGTTCGGTGGAGGTGGCAGGAGTGAGCCCTCTGGGGAAGAGTCACCCTTTTCTGAACCCACGGCTGGACTGCAACACGGACCCCAAACGCCTCCTCCAACACTGCTTCATGGCCACAGTGACTGCCAGTGACATTCCAGGCAGCCCTGAAGAGGCCCCTGTCCCCAATCTAGACCCACGTGGACCAGCCCCATAAACATCCAATAAATGTCTCTCCACCACCCTCTTCTGGAGTCTCTTTTCGGTGAAAGGTGTGGGTGGGGATGATCAAAGGGACTTTGGAGCCTAGTGGGATAAATGAGAGCTTTTCCCAGCAAACCCAAGCCTGTGGGCCCAGCTATACTGCTTTGCCTGGCCTACTGTGGGCCAAAGGAAGTTTCGACATGGGTCGCAGGCAAAATGGCCAGTAACAACTCCATGCAATCAGGGAGAAGCCTGGGACCTGTGGAGGCTCAGGAGCCCCTCACCTAACCTGGGGAGTCAGAGAACTCTGACTTGGTCTTCCTGCCACAGAGCAAGTGTACTTAGGCTACCTGGGCTGGTGACCAGGACCCGGAGGCAGGAGACTCCTGCCTCTCCTGGAGCGAGCCCCTTGCCAAGGAACAGAATGAGAGGGAGTGTAGAGTACCCAGGACCCAGCTGTGTCTCATACCATTCAGTTCCTTAGGTGGATGGAGAGCGACTGAACGAGTGAGAGAGTGAATGGTTGGCAGACCCAACACAGGCTCTAGTGTGGACTTGGCCACTTCCTGACCCTGTGTGGCCTTGATAAAGTCCCTTAGTCTCCCTGAGCCTCAGTTCCCTTGCTGGGTTTTGGCGAGTGTTCAATGAGATGATGGATATGAAGTCCCTTCATAAACATGAAAGTGCTACAAAGACTTTTTCAACATTACCGATGGGTGTTTTTCAAAAACGTGGTAAGAGCTGGGACTCTGGAGCCAAATGCCTGGTTAATCCTCTCCCTGCCCTCACCTGCTAGGTAACATTCATGCCTCCATCCTCTCATCCAAACAAGCAGCTATAATAGTAGGACCTACCTCGTAGGGTTTTGGAGAGGATTAAATTAGAGTCCATGCAAAGTACTTAGGATAGTGTTGGCAAATGGAAAGCACCCTGTGTTGGCTATTATTGTTGTTTTATTTTTTATTATTAAGCCGACAGCAAAGGAATCTTAGGGCAGGATGCTGACTGCCACTCCTGTCCCCTGGCTGCTCTCCTCACCCTCACTTTGGCAGTGGCTTTAGGCTCTGCCTTGGGAGGGCAAGGCAAGGATCTGGGAGACTCAGTAAGCACTGAAAGCAGTTCTTGACATTTCTGACAGTGACATGACCTGCTGCTGGATTTGGCGACAGCGAAGTGGTCACTCAGGTATGTGTGCATGGGGCCTGAGCCGGCCAAGGGCACAGGATGCGGTGGCAAGGCAGGGTGTCACCTACAGAAGTGCCCTGGGCTGGAAGTCGAGAGACTTCACTTTGGGTCTTGCTTTATTTGTTGTCTCGTGTGCACGTGTGTGCATGTGTGTGTCTTTTATTTTCAGCACTCGAAACCCAGCACCTTTGCCCACTTATTGTACATTCAATGGTGTCTATTCTGTGCAAGGACCTGTGCAGTTAACCAGAAACAACAGGGAATCAACCACAGCTGCTGCCCTCAGGGAGTTCATATGGAGGGTGAGGCAGGTGCACCAAAGGGCAGCGGGCCCAGTGGGGCCCTTCACGCAGCTGGAGGGAGGAGTACATGATGTCTGAGCTGAATCATCAAAGATGAGTCAAGGTTTCAAGGGGAGACAAGGTTAGAAGACATTATGGTCAGAGAACAACCTGTTGAAAAACAGTGCTAGAGCCCAGCACAGCCCAGGAACTGCAAGTTACTTATTGTGGAAAGGGCTCAGGGCGTTTGGGTGTGGGTGTGGGTGTGGGTGTGTGGCGGGAGTGGTGATAAGTGAGAGGGTTAGTCACTGACGCTCTGTGTGACCTTTCATGGAACAGATCTCGTCTCTTTCCTTGGTATCCCCATCAGTAAAATTCAATTTTTCTCTGAACTCTTTCTGCACTGGGCCTTCCAGGAGGTTATGAGAAAGAATCCGACACTGCCCTTGCCTTTAGGCTGCTCAGGGTCTGAGAGCGGGAGGTGATCTGTTGCTCATCCATGGCCCAAGGCAGAGGCTCTGAGACCAGCCTGCACAGAATCAGCGGGAGGGCTTGTGAAAACGCAGATTGCCGGGCCCCCTCTCGGCCCTCCGCGGAGCGTCTGATTGCGTGAGTCTGGAGTAAGTCCCAGAAAGTGCATCTTTAACTAGTTCCAGGTGATGCCAATGCTGCTGGTCTGGGACCACCCTCTGAGCATGACCCGCCAGGAAGAACAAAGAGGACTCAGAGCTGGGGAGGTTAAGAGGAGACCTCACACTGAGCAAGGCCCTGAAGACCTGGTAGGACTTCCCCAGCAGGAGCCTGTGGGGAGGGGGTGGGGATAGGTGGAAAATAGGCTGTGTGCTGCCTTTGCTGACCTGCACGTCCCAGGCCTCATAAAGCTCCTCCACATCCCCCACGTTCAGCGACTCTCGTTTGAATTCAATCAATCCTCAGAGCTGGCTCTCACTGGAGTTGGCCTGTCTGAGTCCTGGGTTGGAAACAAGCTGCCCACCTGTGCAGCGGAAGCTCCCCTCCCCCCACCTCCCCAAGGGCAGCCGAGGAGGAAGGAAGCTGGGTGGGCTGACGCACAGACAGAAATAGTCTGAGCTCACTGCTGCTCCCAAGCACCCATCGACTGACCAGCAATTATGTCTTGCACATTGCTTTCTCAGTTATGTTGAGAACGTGCATGTGCCTGCTGGAGAACAAACACTCGCGGGCACCGGGTGAGGGTGGCTGGCTGGGGAGTGGGCACCAGGTGGAGCGGAGGCCAAGTCTGAATCTTCAGCCAAGAATTAGGGAACTGTTGAATCTGGGAATTTGACAATGTTAGAACCTTCCGTTCCTGTCAGGTAGTTTTCCGGCCTGTCCTCAACCATTCACTGTTGTTTGTTCCTTCAACATTGACTGACAGTGATTCTCTGCCAGGATCTGGGCTAAATGACGTCCCAGTCCATGTCCTCAAGGAGCTCAGGACTATGGCATCTATAGGAGATCCCTAACCCAGCCAAGGGCTTCAGGGAGAGCTTCTTGGAGGAAGTGATGCCTGCATTAAGTCTTGAAGGACCCACTGACAAGTGAAAGGGGGTTTGTGGTACAAGGTGGGGAACAGCATTCAAAGCAGAGGGAACAGCATACATGAAGACCCAGTGCTGGGGCCAGCCCTGTGGCTGAGTGGTTAAGTTCACGCGCTCTGCTTCTGTGGCCCAGGGTTTTGCCAGTTCAAGTCCTGGGCGCGGACATGGCACCGCTCATCAGGCCATGCTGAGGCAGCATCCCACATTCCACAACTAGAAAGACCCACAACTAAAAATATACAACTATGTACTGGGGGGATTTGGGGAGAAAAAGAAAAATATATATATCCAGAGCAAAGAGAGAACATACGGTGATTTCAAGGAACAGTAGTTCAGTTCAGTGGACACTATAGTCAAGGTGGGGAATGGCAAGAGATGAAGCTGGAGGGAAGTGTGGGCCAAGTCCTGAAACCTTTGCCATATTAAGGGGCTTGGGCTTTACCCTGCAGGCAAGGGGGAGCCATGGGAAAGGGTTTTAAGCATGGAAAGGAACTGGGCACCCTGTGTGATAGCTTGCTCTCATGTTCATCATGACAGTGAGGTGAAATTTGTCACCCAGGAGCTCTGTCTTGGGACCTATTGAACACCTGCCCCTTTGGTCCCAGAAACCTCATAAGTCTGAAGGACAGCTATGGCTCTTGTGCTCACAAGAAATGGCTCAAGCCCTGGACATCTCTCTTCCTGTCAGGAGGAGGAGGCCGTTCCACTGCCATCCATGACACTGCTCTTTCTGATCCATGCCCAGTTAGCCCAGGGGCCGGAGCGTGGGGGCCACTGAGGCCCAGGCCACAGACCGGAGCCCAGGAGAGCGACATGCCTTGCTGTCCCAGAGACCAAGGAGGTTCTCACGTGTGGAACCCTCACCAGCATGTGAATGGCTCCTTGCACACCTTCTCTGAACCTCCCAGGATCAAGGCCACCCAGAGTGGGTCTGTTCAGGGAGTGCTGTGGGCCCAGCACTGTGACAAGCTCTGTAGGATAGAAGACGTGGCCCTGCCCTTAGGGACTTAGTCTCAAGGGATGAAGAATAGGTTCAACCCATGAAAATCCTTAAGAGCAGTCAGAGAGAGTTCAAAAGAAATGCCAAGCTGCGGGGCAAAGGCCATTAAGGTTGCAGAGATTCTAAAACAGGAGAAAAGAAATAGTCTTGAAGCATTTGCGGAGGAAGTGGGGGTTGAATTTGACCTTGATGGACTATAGCAATGTTTGAAGGGTCTCAGTAAGGTAGAGGAAGTGTTCTATAATGTCAACTTTAAAGAGAGTACCACTTGTGGTTCCAAGGACTTTGGACAAGTAAACCATTCAACAGCCCACCCCCAGGCACAGTCATTCAACCATCACACACTTAATATCTTTTATGTGCCAGGCCTTGTCCTGAGCTTCAAGAACAAAGAAATGAATCAGTCACAACTCTTGCCCTCAGGAGCTCTCAGGCTCTTGGGCAAAGACTGAAGGTTAAATAGATAATTACAATGGTGTAGACAGTGCCATGATTTCTTTATTCATTCATCAGTTGAAAGATGGCCTACCACTAAGATAGGCTATGCTAACCTCATACATGGCGCTACATTAGTGCAATGTAACTGCTACCCCTCCCATCAAGCGGTGGAATGTATTTTCCCCATCCTTTGTTTCTGTGCTGACTTTGTGACTTGCTTGGACAAATAGAAAGTTGCACAAGTGACACTGTGCTATTTTGGAGTCCAGGCCTCAAAAGACCTTGCAACTTCCTCTTCCACCCTCTTGCAATGCAGTGTCACTAAGTAAGGAAGCCTGGACCAGCCTGCTGGAACATGAGATCGTGTAGAACACACAAGAGCTCTCCACTGAGGGTCCCTACACCAACCAGCTCCCAGTGGAGCTACCAGATGACTGCAACAACAGAGTGACCCCAGGTGAGATCACAGAAGAACCACCAGCCAAGCCCAGCCCAAAGTGCCAGTCCACAGAGTCAAATGAATGGTTATTGTTTTATGCCATCTGTTTTGAAGTAGTTTGTTACACAGCAATAGCTTACT